TGTGAAGTTAAGCAAACACCACCCCCCCCCCCCCCCCCCCCAACAATTTGAATTTTCAAAATTTCAATGCAAATCAATGTTACTAAGTGTTACTCACTTATCTGTTCTGAAACTGTTGTACCCCCACCCCTCCCCCGAATAAAAATTCTGTATTCGACCATGGGCAGATATGAAGTTAAGCAATGTTGGGCCTGGACTTGACTACACGGAATGCTGTAGGTTCAAGTAGGTTGAGCATTCCAGCAGTAAGGGACACAATACACTACTTGAAACCTTATCATCATTACCATTTGCTGGATACAAGCCTTTTTCAATAATGAGTATAAATTTTGACCAATATAAACACAACTTGCTTAAACCTCGTTTGTGAATAGTAGGGGTCAACAGTTTGTCCATTTTGCTACTACCATTATATACAGATGCCAGAAACCTCTGGCCTACCAAAAAACTAAAAACATGAAATGAGCCTTTAGGAAGAAGGTGCCTCAGGTGAAATTCATGATACCCCACAGGGGCGGATCCAGAGATGTCCGAAAGGGAGGAGGGGGGCCCCTCGAAAGTTGGGCCGATTGGGATACCACTATCCCAGGGGGCCAGGGGATTCCCCCACGAAATGTTTGTATTCTAGACGCTGAAAATAAATTCTGAGGCGTTTTCGGCAATCAATTTTTTCTTTTTCTTCTTTTTCCCCTTTTTTTACTTTCCAAAAGAGGCACCTCCCCCCCCCAACTAAAATTTTCCCCTGCCTCAGAATTACCACTGGCTTTGCACTGCAGTGGTGCACCTTTTCTAGCCCAGGTAATCAAACTAGTCTATTGAGAGTTTACATCAGAAAATATTGACTGTTTATTATTTATTTATCATGAGCTTTAATCTTTCAGGAATTATACTTACTGCATCTATTTCATCCACTACAGTTAAACAGGAAAAAAAGAAAATAGGTGCTTCCTATGAAATAAAAAAACAGAATTTTTTTTGTATAACTGTAATATGACAATTATTTTTTATATTCAAGAAAACATAATATTTACATTTTTTAGTCAATATTTTACGCAAGTTTATACCAAAGGTTCTACATGTACCTCATCATTATTTCTGTTTTCAATCTATGCCTACTTATTTATTATTTTATCTGTTATTATCTGAATAAAATATTATTTTATTTTTTCGACTAGAATAAATGCATCTTCAAATATATTGGTGGATCAGAGAATATTCAATAGTATATAAATTTTGACTTTTTTTTCAGATTTCACTGAGCAAACAGTACGTTAAAAAAAAAACTGAAATTAATTGTGTTTACCATCTTAGTGCGTAGTGCCTCAAACTTCTTCTCTAGTATATCCAAAGCAAAAAAATAAGGTTCCTCATAACATTTTATCTCAAGTCGTCTAAAAATTTTGAAGAATACACAATCATTAGATTACTATCGCAACTTGGTAAAATATTATTATATGATAATCACAGCATACTGTAATTACTGTATCTTGACCACAAATTATTGAATGCAAGTGCAACTGTTTTCCAGCTCCAGAGGCAGGAATTAGTGTCACTTAAAATTTACCTGTTTATCCATCGATGAAATATTTTTTTATGGTAATTAAGTCAAAGAAGTCAAAGTTGCACTAAAATATATAATATTATATAGAGTACCACAGTCGTGTTGTCACAACACCAGGTGGCACCCTCCGGATGTTGATTACCATTAATTACGCCTGAATGACTTCATAATCTTAATGGTTTAGAATAGGCTTTTTGGAATAGGCATTTTAATAATTTACCATCAAAATGTACTAAAAACACAAAAAGCTTGCATTATATTAGTTATGGAACACACATTTAATCATCAATAAACATTTACAAAGAAAATTAAGTACAACTTCTTAATAATTACGTTAGAAATTGGGATCAATGGTTTGTCAGAGGAGAAAATGGCGTCGGTTGAACGCATTTTGAGTTACCGATAGTAATCATGAGATAACACTGTAGTACTCTATAGTTGGTTTAAACCAGTGGTAGGCATAAAAATGGGTAACAGGCCTGAAATCAATTTTGGATTACAAGACAAAAATATGACATTTACAGTTGTGCTTCAATAAACCTAATGCACAACTTCATACAACTTTACAGTATGCTAATTCTGTCGCAGGCTGCAACAAAAATACTATTGAAGAGATAAACCTTGGAATTCACCACGGTCAAGATAGACCCTGATTGTACTTGGAATCAACAAGGTGTTTCATTCTTCAAAAAAGGATTACATGTAACTATGTGATTTAAAAAAAATTTCTTTCAAGTTCAAAAGAAACAATTACTTCCTTTAAACATCATGTAGTACATGCAGTAATATAATAAGAGGCCCTCTGCTCCAATAAGCAAAAACTTGCATTTGTTATGCCCTTTCCAACAAATAAAGACATAATACAAGATAAATAATTAAGTCAGAATATATTCAAAATACAGAGATAAAAAAAACATGTACAAAAAGCACACATACAAAAATAGAATCAATAGAAATTTCATTTCACAGAAACAATTCAATGAGGAAGAGACTTAATCAAATAGTTGATAAAATTACAATACATCAACAGGAAACGACCACCAATGAATCATGTTCAACATACTTTGAAGATTTGAGGAAGCCAGCAAGCTGCATCCAGTCAAGCCAGTCCTCTGAAACATAGGATTTGCCGAACAGAAACGGTGAAAACAAGCAGATTTTAATGGAGTTGTAGTGCTCTTTACGCTGAGACTCTTCAATGTTCCTCCAGCCACGGATTACTTTCTAAAAATCAAAATGAACGCAAATAATATTAATACATAAATTTACTGTATACCACGCCTTTTGCCAAGTGACACCAGGTGCAACTCATACAATTTACAAACAATTCATAAAAACTTTTATTAGAACTGTGTCTGCCTATGCTACCAAGTTTTAATTATTATCCCATTTGATTTATTTTTGGCCTTTTAAATTCGTTTTATTCAATTTAAAATTTGTTTTATTAATTCAAAATTTCATTTGTTTTAAAAAATGAGTGGAAAAACCCTGAATATTAAGTGTTTAGGCTGCTAGTGCTGGTCTTTCACATTCTAGACTTTATTTTAGATTAGGGATCTATTTGCAGAATTGTGTTCAACTGATTCTAGATTCTTCTTAAAGAAGTTAAATTAAGTAAATCTAAAAATTAAGAGCTGCCTTTAGGCCAAACAAAAATAATTGCTAGTTTCACGTCTCCGCCCTTATCAAATTTTTGAGCCTCATAAAAATTTACTAATTGCTATTTTTCAAAAAAACATTCAATGATGCCAAGCCTAAGAAGAGGTACAGTAGGAACATAAATAACAGAAATACATTACAAAGATAATTTATAAAATTTTTCATAAAAAACAAAAAACAAAAAAAAAACTATTTTTATTACAGTATTTACCAGCCTGTTTACCATTGGTATATAGGATAGTAAAAAGCAAATAGTAAATACCCTCACGTGGATGAGAAACTAACAATTAATTTTATTTGGCCTTATGTAGTGGTAATATTAGTGGGATCTCAAGTTAGGTCATAACCAAGACTAAGAGTGTAAAATGGCATGCATCAGGTGAAATTAAGGAACAGTAAACCACTTATACAGGACAATAGACTGCTACGTATACCAACACACAAACTGATCTCACACAAAAGCACTTTACATTCAGAATTCTTGGTATTTTCTCCATTACCTGAAATTCAGGTTTCATTTTCAGAAAACTCTGTCAATCAAATATATGAAGATCCTGAAATATAAAAAAAATAGTGTATAAGTTATTGTCTACTTCCCAACTCTTAAGCCGTTTACTCACTGCGTGCGACTGCGATGCAGCAAAAAAACACACGCGAAGACTCGGACCCAACAGATCGTCTTTTTAATGAGGATCCGTTCAGATTGCCACTGACAATTAGCAGACGACGTTGCGTCGTCTATCGCTCGCCGGATGCAAATGTGGATTCGTTGTGCGATGGTCTTACGACGCAGTGAGTGTCTGGCTTTATATGTTGGAAGCTGGTTGTAACACTGTAAGTACTGTAGTACAGTCAAGAAAACATAAAAGTCAAGAAAGGAGCGTTCATGTCGCGGCCCTGTTCCTACCAAGTCTTTCACCACTATACACAAGGATCGTAATGTCAACATCTCCACAGAGCATTAACTTGTGAACACTCGATAAGAAGTACTTACTCAAATTCAGTTGACGGTGCAAAGCTCATACTATAAGTTATTGTTTGCACAGCAAGGCATGCAATGACAAAAGAGAATTAATTGGCCAACTATATTTTTACCAAAGTACATTTAACTAATGCAGTACTGTACATTAGTACATTTTTTTTCGCAGTCATGTACAGTACTTTATATCTTGTTATTGGCATTACACTTACATGTAATGTTTGATGGAAATAGTTCAGACCAATGCCTATATAAGCTTCCATTTCTAGCTTTAAAAAATCGTCAAGTCTGACAACTGACTGAAGAGGCTTGTACTACTGTGCATGCTCAGGCAGGGCATTCCACTAATTGATGACTCTTGGTACTGTAAAAAGTTTATCATGTGAGATTTCCTTTAAATTTTGGATGACAATTTTCAAGTTGTGTCCCCTGGTTCTGATGTTATGGGATAATTTACAGAAACCTTTTGGATCAATATCCTCAAAGCCCTTCAAAATGTATATAAAATGTAAAGAAATTACTAATAATATTTAAAATTAAATGAACATTCTCACATTGGGTCATTCCAGCTCAAATCAACCACCATGCCCAAGTGACTGGATTTTCCCCTTAAAAAAAGCTTGGCATGTCAAAAGAAAGAATTCAAAATTTCAGCTTTAATTTTCAAGCAGTTTTTATGTTATGACCTTCCGAAATTTAGGTACCACACCCCCTTTTTCATTCCGGTACGGTTTTTACTAAGCTCTAGAATAATGAAGACAAAAAGTTGCAAATTGCTACATATAGTAGACCATAGAGAAAGCGAGTAGACTAATATTTGGCGACTCTTTATTTCTTTACTTACTGAGCACGATTTTAATTACTACAATTTTACAGACGAAAACACGACATCAATACGATTTAACAAGATGCCTCCTTGATTTAACTAATCACACGACAAAAAAGGCGCAATTTACAAATATTCGAAAGACATCATTGATGCCACAGGCTTTCTCATTACACCACTCACTAGTGAGACCACTTTAAAAATTGTGCTAACGGTTTCAACATATACCATCACCGTTACCATGAAGTGACTCAAAGCCCTACAGTAGTTCATACTTTGGATTTGCGGATTTGCCTCAGGAATGAGTTACACCACAGTGATTACATTGTGTTTATTAAACACAATTTGTAAAAAGTGTGATTTACTGCTCACTTTTTCGCAAGCTACAGTACTACAGTATGCAATGTCAAATCTACAAAGGTACTTTGAAATTGAATTTAGTTAATTTTTCAATATGGATCTGAACTGTGCTTACTTGCCTCTCATGTTTACTAATTAGTCCTCTAATAATTTTTAGTAACATAACAATTTGATGGTCTTTCCTTGTTCAATCTCTTTAAATACAACTATGGGAAATTGTTGGTCTAAAAATATCCCAATTCAAAGTTGAATGGAACTGCATTGAAGCATGTAAACTGACATGGACAGCAAATCATGCATACTTTGCACAATCTGGAAACTCAGTACACAGAGATTCTTTGTCCCATGTAACTAACAAGAATACTGAAACTGAAAGAAATTTTTAGAAAGGCTTGATAAAATTCTAAAATTGCTGAAATTCAAAAAGGAGTCATTGATGTTTATTTGTACTAGCATATTCCAAGAATGCAGGGTTAATTTCGGTCTGAGACGATTAGGCTCAGGTTGATTCTGTCCATGTCGTTGACCTGGGTAGGAAGGCCAAAATGTTTTAAAAGTTGGACTATAGAAATGGGGCAAAGTAAGACACTGTAAAGATCTCTTGGCATTGAAATCTATTACAAGAAGTCTTAATTTTATCTACTGCCAATATTCAGAAGAAAAAAAACAAGTTAAGATTTCCCGAAAACATTAGAAAGATCTCCGTTTACTACATCTAGGCCTACTAAGAAAAACTATACGTAAAAGCATTTTAAATTTTACTAGTACAGTATACTGTAGGCCTAGGCTAGAAATCCTATCTCCATCTTTTTAAAAATAATCTAGGCCTAGGCCTAAACTTTACATTGTCTGACGATACGGAAACATTATACAAAGTGGTAAAATTTTGGCTCCAGCACTGTCTGTTATAAAGTATAATTAAATGACTGGCTAGGTTACGCCTAGCCTAGGCTTTGCCCTACCTAGGAATTGAAGGCACAAATATGGTTTCGCATCTGGTCCTAAAATCATTTATACTAAATTATTTAACACTTACAATTATTTCTCCTTAATGATTTTACTTTCCTATAATCCACTTAATTATCCAACAATTATGGTTTCTAATTAAGATAATTAACCATTAATTAATTAAGACGGTTAACGTAACAACTTTGCGGCGTTGACAGAAGCTGGGCAAAATTATACCATGGTAGCCATAGATGTTCGCTGAGTTTAAGCGTGCCTAGTGGAAATAGTATTAATGTCACTCAAAATGTTATTTTACTTTTCGCTTTTATTTTATCTTCATCAAGAATAACACATAATACAAGACAAACTAAAAAAACAATACAAGTTTCCAGAAATCCTAATGCAGCGAAATAATTGGTCACAAAAATTACAAATGGGCAAAAATTATTTTATATGACAGACCCTGGAAACCTGCAGCAGTCGTTGATTGTACTGTGTGTGTGTGTGGTATGGCGGAGTGGAGTTGATTGTGTTGAGAAATCGGGTGTTGCTATTGATATACCGTCCTAATTATTGGTTAATTAACTTAATTAGAAACCGTAATTATGGAATAATAAGTGGCTTAGGCCTACGGTCCTAGCTAGGCCTATACTATATGGAAGTCAAATCATCAAAGAACATGTTGTGTTCCATAACTGTAAGTCTTAAATAATTTGGTAACCGTTTTCATGGCCGGATGCGAAAGTTGTTGCGATTGCGAAACCGTATAATTAGCGTCGGAATGGAATAATATAGGCCTAGGCCTATATATTCTTAATATTATTAGGCATGGCGACATGCCGAGCCTAACTTTTTTTATTTTTTTATTAAACTTTATTTACCGAGGGTAACCTGCCTAGCGTAGGTAGCTAGATAGAGGGTAGGTCCTAGGGCCAGTAGTAGTAGAAGGCCTAGGCCTAGGCCTAAAAGGGCGCCTAGCCTAGGGTCTAGGCGTAGTAGGCTGTAGGCCTAGCCTAAGCCTATGACAATGTATGATGATGATGGGGATGGCATCCATACAAAGCGTGCCGATTTATTTATCGTTATATTGTTCAAAAATGAATAACATAGTTAGAATATCATTTAAATCTTACTTCTTTTAAACTCTACACATAAATCTAGCAGAAAGTAGCTCGTCATAAGTTATTTCTAATCTCCAAAATATGTAAAAATATGGATTCCGATCATCACCATACTAAGAAATGGCTGCCTACTAACTAACCAATCAGCATGCATGTATGCAGCCACACAAAGTCCCTTTATTTTTTTCTCATTCTGGACAGCGCCACCAACGAGGGAGATACTTTTAGACAATTTAACTAAACCTACTATAATAACAAAGATTTTAATTCAGGGCCGTCGGAACCACACCGGCCGCACAGGCTTTGGCCGGACCACTTCTTCACAATTCAAATATTTTAAAATAAATATATACCGATACCCATAAAATGTATGAATTTATTATTAATGTTCGCATCACATTGTCTTTTGCATGTTGTAGATTTAAATAAAATTCCACCATGCGCTTCTTTTTGTATTTCCTATGTACGTTTGGATTTTTTAACAATCCTACATTTTTAGTAATTATTATAGATTTTGGGTTGAAGTCGGCTAAACTGTTACTACACAAAGGTATACGGGTCAAGCCAGCCCTGGTTACCTGCATCACATTGTCTTTTTCATGTTGTAGATTTAAATAAAATTCCACCATGCGCTTCTTTTTGTATTTCCTATGTACGTTTGGATTTTTTAACAATCCTACATTTTTAGTAATTATTATAGATTTTGGGTTGAAGTCGGCTAAACTGTTACTACACAAAGGTATACCGGTCAAGCCAGCCCTGGTTACTTGCATTCTAAATTTAAACCACTAAAGTGAAGAACATCCATTTTGTCTAAAGTATCCACATGTCCTACCGTATTTCCCGGCAGAGAAGTCATTTTTTCAACCATGGTGGAGCCGAGATGGATCATATCTAGTCCACTTCCATTAACTGGGGCTGAAATATGTAGCTACGTTGCAGGTTGCAGCTGCTATTTCTGGAAATCTAGATAAGCCTATGCCATATTTTTTCAAAATTTGTTTACATCAGGCGGCCACCATGTTGGGGTTGAAGTAAGTATCAATATCCCCACTTAACTTTAGAAATGTATGCCACATTCTGGCGTCTAGGGCTGCCACATTTTTTCTAAAATTTCCCACCTCAGCCCAACTATGGTCCGGGGCTGAGGAGGGTATAGTCTCTATCTCCATCTAATTTGAAATACCGTATTGAGGGAAATGAGTAGCAGATTCACAGGTTGCCAGCAGGGTTTCTGTGCATCCAGAGGTGCCAAAAAAGTTGTTCACCAACATGGAGGGTCCACATGGTGGGGATAAGGCGGGTATGCACTCAAACCCCAATGACTTTAAATCCTTACATGATCCGTGCATGTAGTAATAGATCTGCAGTTTAGCAGCCATATTTGTTAAGCGCGCCCCACCCCGACCACTGCCTTCCGCTTATTTTTTTATAATGGCCATACCACTTGCAAAATTCTTCCAACTGCTATGTAGACCTTAGGCCTACCACCGAGGCTCTTTGCCACCCGACACAATATGGAGAATCCCTAATCATATTTACACGAGTTGCCGGGTATTGAACTTTTTATTTGTAATTTCCTTTACGACTCCAAGCGAGAGCGTGTGTCTACTAGTATTAATCAGAAAGTCAAAATGATGATTAATCAATAAACCAATTTATCTAGAGTCTATAGTATCTAGATTAAATTATTTTTTTAAATCATGCTTACTTTGTAAATCTACTCGTAAATTCAGTAATGTTTTAATATTACTGCAATTTGTTTTTGATATCAGTGCTTAACATCAACATTATATACGACTTACTATCAAAATTTAAAAAAACAACAACAAACGCTAGTTAATAGCTTAGTATGTCATCAAAACAGCACACAAATCGTTGTAGTCTTGGCAACAAGAATTAAAATATAAGCTGCAGACGAGAGCGTGTCATAAATGAATCGCTCGAAGGTATCCGCTCGAAATGAATCTACTGGTACGGTACCTCGTGCACGTTTTGTTTCAATTTCATACATTACGATTGCCATTGCCAATTTAACTGTTTTGGAGTTGGTGATCATGCGTTTTTTATTGTCATTGTCCAAAATCCAAGTTTAACAATTCAACAGTCTTTTGCCATTCGAATTTTTAACCATCCGACCATTTGACATCATAGACCAGAGCAGCCAGAGCACCTTTTCTCAATTAAAGTACATTCTAAAAATATATTACCGATACCCATAAAATATATGAATTTATTATTAATGTTAGGTGGCTATAGAATCTATCCCCCATGCTAACTTTAAATCTAGTGGCTGCCCTTTGACAGGAGGGTGTGGTGGAAGGGTTATGGAATAGCGTTTCTACAGGTCACAAGCATATATTTCCGGGTCTCCAGAGGTGGCAAAAAAGTTGTTCACCAACCATAGTGGGACATTCAGGCCCCACTAGTTTTGTTTTTTTTTTTTTTACAACGAAAATTATTTTTTAATGAGCTAATAATGCTAGAATGGGCCTATGCTGTAGGTAGGCGATGCGACAGTGTTATGTGATCGTTATGAGCTTCAATATAGATTTTAAAATGGTGTTTGTTGTATTTTTGTGTATTTTTTACTTTTAAGGCATAAACAAATTAGGCCCATTGGTTTAAAAAAAACTTTTCCTACCGAGTTCGAAAATTTTGTAATTGAGGGCCGGCATTTTTTTTTTTTTTACAACGAAAGTTATTTTTTAATGAGCTAAAAATGCTAGAATGGGCCTAGGCCTATCTTGCCACGGTAGGCGACAGTGTTATGTGATCGTTATGCGCTTCAATATAGATTAAAAAATGGTCTTTGTTGTATTTTTGTGTATTTTCTACTTTTAAGGCATAAACAAATTAGGCCCTATTGGTTAAAAAGAAAATAACTTCCTGAGTTTTTTGGGGGGTTTTTTTTGGCTTTTGGCCTTATGGCCGGACCACTTGCAAATTGCTTCCGACGGCTATGTAATTATATTGAAATAAAAATAACGTTTCACTTGGTATCAACAAACAATAAGGCGAGTCGATTGGCCGAACGGTTAAGACAGGGGAACCGTGAACTACAGCCACAATATCGGCGCTGGTTCGAAGCGCACGCTCGCCTATGGTTCTGGTGGTGGAACAAGTCTTCTCTAAAACAGATATATCTAGCTAGAACCCAAGATAATAATGTTTTTCAATATTTTTTTTTTCTGTGTTATTTTGTTTTCTTCTGTATAGCTATTATTGTATTAGTCTGAATTTAAAACTAAAATTTTAAAAATTCATGATAATGGTGGTGATACCAAAGACGATGATGAATCGTTGAGCCCCCCCACTTCACCCTCGCTCCCTGATCAGCCCCTCCCTCTCCTCATTTCAAGACTCCTAATACACCACTGAATGGTGACGATGATGATGCTGTTGTTGTTGCGGATGCTGCTGGTTATGATGATGACAATGATTATCGTATGAAGTAGGTCTATTTAATTTGAGTAAAAATTACTTTTTACAAAATGACACATAGGCCTATATAATCATTCTTTATATAAAAAATAATAATAAAAAAATAAATAAAATACATGTCATGGCTTAATTATTCGCAGGAGTCAAGAAAAATATGATGAACATTTTCTGGTGAGTGTCTGGTAGTAATATTATTTCTAATAAGCCCAATCATGCAGCGCTGTAGTCAATCAATAACGCATGTCACCTGGAAAGGCGTGACTTACCGGTACACGATGATTCTAAATATTATTAAATTTTACTTTCTCAGTCTTATTTTGTAAGCATCTACCATCAGTCTGTTTTTGTTTACATGCTTTAAATACAGCATAGGCTGTGTGAATATTATTTTAAACTTTGGCTCTGACTTTCATTTGCATTGCAATGTTTATCATTATTTGGAAGAGTTATCTAATTGCGATCAGTATCGTAAGTCTGAACGCCGAAGTCTGCTTCGCAGGTGAGTAGGCCTATTAATTCTCCTCCAATTGACATCTTTCGACAAAAAAATGATGTCCTCTAGAACAGTGGCATATCTAGGGGCTGTCTCTTATACACATCTAGATGTGTATAAGAGACAGACTAAGGGCTCCACCCCCCAAAAAAGGACAATCAAGTAGTTAAAAATCAACTAAAATCACCTTTTTGCGAATTAGCGCCCCTCAAATTATCATCGAGCCCGTCATCGAGGCTCCCCACACTTAAGGCCTGTTTACACGTCAACGATAATGATAACGATAAAAAAAATGCTAAAAGCAATTGTTCATATAGGAAATAAAAGCAATAAGAGAAGTTTTTACACTACTACGATTCGATAACGATTTATCAGTTATGCATATTTTGAAAAATCAAATCAGATGACGTCATAATCATGGGAAAACATTAAAATCGTCGTAGTAGCAACGATTTTATCGTTTGTCCATGATTATGACGTCATCTGATTTGATTTGTTAAAATATTTTGTTATTGTATACACGATAAATCGTTATCGAATCGTACTAGTATAAAAACTTCTCTTATTTCTTTTGTTTTCTATATAAACAATCGCTTTTTAGCTCTTTTATCATTATCGTTATCGTTGAAGTGTAAACAGGCCTTTACCCTTCGCGCCCCCATCAGCACCCCCATTTAAAGACTTCTAGATATGCCACTGCACGAGAATTGTGTTTTATGGTTGTAGTGTATTCTTGTCAGCTTTCTCTCAGACGGTTTCGATTCACCCGGCGGAAAAAAGTGAGCGTGGTCGGGCGTCGCTCGAAACCTCCGAAAAAAAATATAATAATTTAGGGAGTTTCAAATTCTTATTTAATCAATTTTGGAGTCTATATGTGTGGAAAATACATAAACATTTTTTTTTCTCTCCGACGGGTTGTAGTTTTTTCCCTGACGGGGGTGCTCCCCGACGTGGCCTGCCCCACTTCCCCGCTGGCGCCACCCCTGTTTCTATCACCTTATATTACTAAAGTTGAGGCGAATATTTTATCATTCCAGCTTCGATAGGGCCTGAGGTTTTTTTTTTATTAAGTCGCCCACACAATTTGACATAACGGTATACATTATAAGTATTACATTGGTATAATTTGAAAATTTCCAATTAACTTCACCAAACAAAAGAATTGATACAATTCAAGTGATTTACCAGAGCGTGATAAATAAGTGAATTCAAATCGTC